ATTACAAGAACAGCCCTAAATGCTTAGCGCTACAGAAAAAAGAAGAAATTAATTTAGGGCTTTTCTTGTAAATTCTATAACTTTGCAAAGAAAGGTCGTGTAGAACTAGGACATGCCTCATTTTAATCAGAAATTTGCGGGCTGCAATTATGCCTTATTAAGAAATGTTTTGGTAATCTTTTAGAGTTAGTGAAAAACTGGTTTTCCAGAAAACTGTATCTTCGAACAACCATGGGCAGCTCCCATAAGCATATTCGGAATCAGCATGGTCGATAACCTATAACCCACCAGATTTCGATCAAAAAGCGATTTATAACCTCGAGAGGTTCCCTCGTGAGTCTTTCAGACCAAGGCGAAAGTTGAAACGTTCAACCAGCCACTGTGTCTCGACTGAAAAATAGATCTCAAAGCAAAACGAGCCATTTTGTAGAGAATTTAATTCTCTATTCAATGGTATGTTTTTAAACATTTTTGAACAAAATGTCCAGGTCAGAAAATTGGAATTAAAGTTTTTAAAAATTTTAAATTAAAACTTTTGTATTGAAAACTAATTTTTTCTTCAAAAGAAAAGCCAGATTCGTGATCAGCATGAAAAGCGTTTAGTGATGTGCCTCTATCGATTTTCGATGAAAATAATTCAGAAAAAACTTGATCAGGGAAGTGTCGCGTTACGTGGACAAGCCAATCTGGTAAAATTTTGAACTCGATCGGATGAAATTTAAGGGGGTGTCGTAATGTGCCACGATGAAGCCTGGTAGCAAAAAAATAGTTTTCGAGGAAAAACGCATTTTGTACATAGGTCACTTTTTTCAGAGCATTTGCCGCCATGCTTATATCTCTGCGAAAACTTATCAGAAAGTTCTGTAAAACGTCTCATTGTGAAGAAAACACTTTCTTCTATCCGACTATTATAAGAAAAATTTTGCATATACAGAAAAAGAGAGAAAAGTTTATGAAACTAAAAAATTGAGCTTTTTTAGGTGCTGAAGGAAAAACTTCAGAAATCCATAATTTTTTCAAAAAAAGGTCGTGGAGCCCTGGGAGTGGTCTTATTTTGTAGCCCACACTTTCCTCTACATCAGGCTATGCTGAGCTCAAAATCCGAAATTTTTACAAAAGAGAGGGGGGTACCCTTAAAACGTTCATAAAACGATATCCACTTCTTGAACCTTAAAAGGTTCTATCCGGCACCATTTTTTTGTAGAGAGTACTATTGGCTACTACAGATTAGATGTTTCCTTATGTTTCTTTGTTTATTATTTTATTCAATCGATATTGTGTTCTTTTCAACCGAAAAGTACACAAAAACTGCATATCAGCAAAAAAGTACATATAAATCAGCCTGAATATCACTCAGCTCACTTTGGAATACATGAGCAGCTACGTTATAATATATCTAGATTTCCTCTGCATAACGAAACTTATCTAGTATATCTAATTCATGTTCTAAATTTTTATCACCAATGGCATCAATTTCTCTCAAAAAATGTTTCCGAAATTGTATGAGATCATGTTTCATAATTTTTGATATTTTTAATTTAGCTTGATTGCCATCATCAGAATGCTGACTAGTTGTTCGTTTACTAGGTTTTCCTAAATCATCATAAAATGTGTTTGTTTCTTGTTGAATATTGGTTAAAACATTGGTAATGAATGAGACATATTGTGCTAATAAAATCGCTTTTCTAATACCAGTATTTTCATATTTATTTTCGTCATCAGTACTTAACACCACCAGATCTGTATCATCAGTGGACGATAAGATTCTTGACAATCTTTCATTTAGATCAACTTCAATTGTGCTTTGATGACGTTTATCATCGATATCATCAAATTTTGTAGTTAATTTTAACATGGATGACGGATTTAGATTACTAATAATTTTTTCTTTTAATTTAACTAAAATACAACCTCTGATACTTTCGTTATCTAACGAAGAGGGTGAAAATGAAGCAAATGTAAAATATTCATTTGTCATTCCAGTTTTTGGTATACCATATACTTTTTCAATTTCATATTTTTCTGATTCGATAAGAACCATAATATCAAACGCAATTGGATTAATAATATAATTAAAATCATCATTTAATACTTTTCTAAATTGTTCATTTGAATGTACCGAATAATAATTGCTGCCACGTGTTTTTGTTAACTGATAGACTAACTCACTGTTAAAATCTAATCCAACGCCAACATATGTAACAAATATATTTAATTTTGAAGCTTGTACTGCTGAATCTATTAGAGATTCTTTCCCTCCACCTAGATTGGGTTGTGCATCTGTGAGAAATAATATGTGATTGAGATGGTGTTCATCACCAATTATTTCGTACTCGCTTAACATATCCGAAAACATTTGAACAGCCATTTTCATGCCACACTCCATATTTGTTCCACCATCTGCTCTTATTTGGTCAACATACTCGTATAATTCGTTCATATTTAAACCCGTTACTTTTCGAAGTGGTTGTAAAAGATTGGCACTGGAATTGAATAAAACGAGTCCAAATTGTTCATTTGATTTCAAGTTATTGATTAATTGTTTGACTACTTGTTTAGCTACATCAATTTTTGTTAACGACGATAAGTCTTGATTCTTTATTGATTCTAATCCATTGGTGGATGGTGATGAAAAATGCTCACTCATCGAACCAGAAACATCAAGCACTACGACTAAATTCAGTTGTTTACGCTCATTGATTCCATCATACTTTGTTCTGAAACTAACGTTCAAATAGATTTCTTGATCAGTAGTTAACACATTTTTTGTTGTGGCAAACGTAAACGTTGATTCTAGCAATTGATCTGTTGTTGTATCTGAACAACCAGTATCAAAATAATATTCATTGTACAATCCTTCAACATTGATTGAAGCATTCGTCGGTAATAAACAGGTGCTGTTCCATAATGACATGAATAATTCAGAATTGTCCAGCATGAGATTATGTAAATATTATATTTATCAATTATTAATCTATCCGTCAATAATAATTCAAGGCTTTTCAGCTGCTTCGTACGACGGCAAGAAAAACTCTTCATTATCAAGTAGAAAATCATCATCATTAGCACTAGTTTGATATGGACATGTGGTATGTGATTAGCATCACCGGAGAATATTTGCTGTCGAAAATGATCAGAATTTTGTGAACCACAGCAAACACTCGGCATCAAGTAAAATTTCTCCTACTTTACAAGACTAAAACTATTAAAGTGACTTTATCACTGGTGAAGTTTGTATAATGAGTTTCTTACCTCTATATATATATATCAAAAAACTGAAAAATGGTGACAAAGAAAGTATATATATCAAAAAAGTATATACAGCTGTCGATTATTCTTCACAAAGCCTCTGACACTACAGATTCATTCAACACTATCTTAGCGTTGTGCAATACGAAATGAATCTTCATACTGTTGCATGAAAAAAAAAATATTCATTAGTTATTGCACAACTGCACGTAAGGTAAGGTTAGCTTAATGATCTAAGTAAAAAACGGCATGCAATGGGATGTTTGACAAACGCTTTCGTATAAAATAAATCTGTCAAAAACTTCTGGCTGAGGTTTTCCAGTCGATTTTATCAAGAAAACTTTCATTTCATCTGTTTAATCTGCATTTTGTCAGTTTAAATTTAATTAACGTCCTAAATTATACTAAAAATAATCGATCTCCAAATTTTTTACCAGGAATACTGTTCGAAAATATGAGTGACAATGTATCGTTTCAAGAAGGAGATTTATGTCAAATTTACAAAGTTAAAAAAAATCAATATTTCTGCAAAAATCTACGTCAAAATTTGGTGACATTTTTATCTTTAAAGCTTTTTTATTTGAAAGAAAAGAAGAGCATCAGAACCACCAAGTTTAACCCCATTATAGAGAAGGGAGAAATGCAAAGAAAAAAATGAGAACTGAGACATGATATCTGAGGAGGGAGGAGAGATTGAAGAGAAACAATATGACATACGGCTTTTGATATATAGATCATTTCATAAACAATATACCATACAATAAATGGCAGTGCTTTAAAAGAAGAAACTGTCATTTTTATTAGTGTTTCATATTCATAGCAAATGAGGTCGATTATACTTGCGTCCGGTTTGGAAGGAGACGGTATATGTATTCTGATTTGTTTTTTTATGTAGATTTCGAATCCGGCGTTTGTGTTTGTGTGCAAAGGTTAGTTTTCGAGAAATAGAGTAAAAACTGTTTTTACGTGGAAATTAACGTCTTTTATTGCGTTCTCTCTTTTTTTCGTCCTGAATATATGTTTTTCTTTCCATTTTCTCTTTTCGTATTTTATTGTGGTGAACGAACAGAAGGAGAAAGAGAATATCCGTCTATAGTTTGTATCGAGCACTGCTGTTATCCAGTAAGGCGTCGGAAATTCAAAATTTAAGAAAATTCATTTTCTCAACAACGAAGGAATATTTTCCAAAACTGATACATAACTTTTTTCGTGCTATAATGGCAAGTGGAATGATATAAAAATATTGGCTTCATCTCCTATTCAGAGAGACTTGAAGCTTCTTTCGCCAACATGAACAGGATTTTGGCTATTGGTGAAAAACTCAAATTTTTTAGGTCATATCATGCTTGAACAGTATCGAAACACTATTTATCGGATTCAGTTTTTTACGGAGAACAAGAATAAAAATCTTCCAAGGTTCCCAAACACATTGTATTCGAGTTTTACGTTAGTTTAAATAAACTGTTTTTTAAAATTTTAAAATCTTCAGTTTTTATAAATTTTCGACATTAACTTTTGATTCGAAAGGTTAAAACACACATATTCTTGTTCAGCTCGACGAGCTCTATCCAACAATATATAAATATCGCAAAAATGAATTTTGCTTAAGTTTTGAATCTCCGACACCTTATACTTGTTGAAAATTGAGCAGATATAAAATATGACTTTTATTGAATACGAGAGAACAAAGGAAGACTGATAATAAGAAACGCCACAATTACTTGTATAGAAATCATTTGTATGCTCTCGCGGGGTATAAAAAAGTAGATGGTTGACTCCTTTTTGTAGCAAGCAACGTTGTTACATCAACAACTTGAACTTTGTGATCAAATCTGAAAGAAAATTCTGTGATAAAAGGGACTTCCTGACTCTTTCTTCGAGATGTATGAGTCGTCTTGCAAACTGGTTGTTCAAACGTTGTCTTTTACTTCTTTTTATTTAATTCATTTAATACTTTCTTGCCAGAATTCATACACAGAAAAATGACATATCCGAAATGATGTTGATGGTCTCGTGGGAAAGCCGATCACGTAAATTACCTATGAGTTCAACGCTCAATGTCTCAAAAGAAGGTCCCTTTTTCGAAGAAAAGCTATTGTCAGACTTATGTGTAGTATAAACAGAAATAGCTATCCTTTAATTATTACTATCTGATTTCGTCTTACTGAACAGATGATTTGTTAAAGTCTTGACACAAAAATATCCATGTCTGTGTAAATGAGATATATACTCTAATAAAACTGAACCAAAGAGAAAAGACGCTGAGAAAGATGATTTAATGTACGGTTATGTATTTTTGTGATCACCAAATTTATTAGTATAACGGATGATGCAAAAGTTCTGCATTACTTTTGTTTTTGATATAGCGTTGCGATGAAATATCTTTGAGACTTTATCCTGTTTTTATTAGAAAGAGCAAAGTGTGTAGTAGAGAAATATATAAAAGCGTTTGATCGGAAATGTTTCTCGAAGGCCTTCAAGGATTTTAGCACAAAAGGCATCGGGAAACTGTTCCGTAACCTTTTCGAAAAATTCCCCCCAATAAGAAAGGTTACCTTTCTATTTGTTTTATTCGAGTTTTATAATGTAAGGGTAGGGCACTATAGAGATGTGCGCGGGTACCGTTTTCGTACCCGTACCCCACCCGACCCGAGAACTTTGTATCCATCCGTACCCGACTTATGCCTAAAAATTTTCTCCTTTTCCGTCTCCAGCAAAAAGCTTTTGTTTTTCGGCTGGAGATGACAAATTATCATTGTGTCCCCAAATAACTGTTTTTTAAAACTTCATGTATTTTAGCTAAAATATTGTATTTTTCATTAAAAAACTGTCCGTATGTGTAAAGTAGAGGGGAAACAAAGACAGTCATCGCAAGATTTCCATCAATAAACTTGACTCGCCAAATTTAAAAAGCGACGATTTGATTTATAAAAGTTTTTACTTTCTAATTAAAACGATGTTAATCAAAGAAACTGTTTTAGCTACGATTTACAAAATGATAGTGTATACTACTTACATGTGCATTGAAAGTTTGGCGTTTTCTTTGTTCCTAATAAGAAACGTGTTTAATCTCCCGTTTTTTTTGTTTGAGATATTTGACAGGCAGAAAATTTGAAATAAATGAGAAAAAGACTATAGTGAGAGAGACTCTGTTGTTTTACTCAAATTATAATTTTTTTCATACACTAGAATATAAGATATAATATTTTCTCGTTACTTTACTCGCCTTTCCTAATGTTGACTAGTATTTAAAAAGAAGACTTTCGGCGTAAAGAAAAGACTGTGCCAAACTTGTGGACAATATAAGTATACTACGAGGAGGAAGAGAGGGAAGTAACAATAAGAAGAGTAAAGAAAGGCAAACAACAACTGATAAGCTAAGAGAGAAAGGGCATAAAAATCAACATAAGGTAAAGACGTGATGAACATCCGTAATGACACATCCAAGAACAAAAACAGAAGAAAATGCTACTGTGGTGTGTGTAATTTAGGCATGCACCGATTTCGATTATTAGAAATGGAAAATGTCTTACTCTAAGTGCAAAACGAAATTTTTCTTATGGCAAAATACTAAAGCGACGTAAGAGTTCAGGTTACTTGCGTAAAGTGTAAAATGAAGTTAATATACAAAGCGGTAGTTGCGCGGTGACTAGGCATGGGACGGTAAAGGTTACCGTTACCGTTTTGCCGATCTAACCAGTTTTTCTGTTACCGCGTTACCAGTCTTACCGGTTTTACCGTACCTTAGCGGTTTAACGTTTGATATGAATGTATAAGAAAATTTAGTAGAAAGTGAGATTTTCATAGTAAAGTGACGTATACTGTCATATTTTGAAGTAATCATAGCCGAAGGATTACATCAATCTGTAAACGACGATCGTAACAGAACTCATCGTTTCCATTGTACGACCGTCGATTTTCGACATAAACTAAAGTTTACCTTGATGGAACTTGGGTCTGCGCATTTTTTTCTTTTTGTAACGAATATCGTAAAAACTTGAAGTACTCTCATTAGTTAAACGAACTTAAAAGTTAGATGATCTGCTATCCGTTCGAAAACATTTTAGAAATATGAATTTTGAAATTTGAAACAGTTTTCAGGAAGAAACTGCATGAACATTAGAGAGCATAAAATAAATATATTTTTTGTTAAAATAATTACGGACAGGATTTTGTAAGAGCAGGTAAGAGCTGAGGATGGTCTGTTGGTACCCCGTCTGGTTTAACTCTTAATATCATTTAGGTTTGAACACTGGAGAAACGTTCAGAGAATTACGAGTGCCAGATAAAAAATAAAAAATTCATGGTACACCTACTATTTGGAAGGTGACGATAACGGTGGGATTTGGAAAGTTAAAATAGCTGAAGGAGAGAGCGTTCGTATGCATCTTAAGGCAATTCGGTCAATCTTCTAACTGGACTTTTCGTCTGAAAGGAAAATTGATTATGTTGTCACGAGAAGAAGAAATAAAAAGAATGCTTGAAATTAGTTTGGCTAAGCTTGGTTGGCAAACAGATGGTGAAATTGGTTCCATTACTCTTTGTCATAATCTACTGAAAGATGTGTCTTACACGTTGATTGAACGGGTTCGTTTCGTAATCAATGCTGTGTAAGTAGATGTATTGAATAAAAGTTTACATTAATATATCTTTATTACTTGTTTATTTCCAGTCGTGATATGAAATTGTTCTCAAAAGAAAAAGTTACACAAACGAATAGTGATTCGACAAAACGTCGAAAAAAAAGAGGTAATAAAATAAAAATCTCTTTTACTTCTGTACAATAGAAATTGTTCTTCCCAAAGCAGAAAACTCGAATAACGTTGGAATTTCCTGTCTCTTGCGACAGAAAACTCTGTTAGTAGTGTAACCATTTGATTCTTCGTTAATCTCTTTTTTTCCATTCTGATTGCCAGATTCAACTGAAGATGAACAAACAAAAAAGGATGAATCAGAGGAAACGTCAAACGAGAAAAGGAAAAAAAAGACGCCATCGCGGTATGTATCATATCTTTCTTAAAAAAATATTTCACCTTTCGTTCCGTTCTGTATTACAGTGAATCGAAACAAATTCAAGAGTCGTTGTCCAAAAATTACCCGCCATCTCGAAAACAATGTCAACGAAGAGTGAAAATAAACATAAAACATGTTTTTTTACAATTTTGTGTTCTTTGTTTTTTCTTGTTCATCTATATTTTAGCGTTATTTTTCTATTGTTATACAGTAAGCTGAATAAAGAGAAAAAAATACTTTATGCTCATCATCTGACACTTCAATATGTCTAATTCTATCAACAATTTCTTGAGGATCATAGCTTTCGAGACGAATTAATTTCGATATATCCATTTTCAACTTTCCAAATTCAAGTTTCAATTTGTAATTACCTGAAAACTAAGCAAAGTTAGAACATACAACTAAGAGATTTGACAGCGAACTTTCAGTTAGCTGCAACCAACTGTCGCGGATTCTCTAGTCATTCCTTCCCTTTTTCTCTCAGAGAAGTCCACTCCGACAGGTTCACTGGAGTCGACCTCGAGCAAAAAAGACGACGATTGATTCTATAATCATTCGGTGCCTTCTCCCTAGGTGGAGTCGACTTCAAGAAAGCAAGCGACGATTCATTCTCTACTAATTCGTTGCCTTTTCTCTCATCGGGGTCGACTTCGACAGACTCGATAAGGGCTGTTAAAATATCCGTGTAAGGTGTAAGAAAGATCGCCTATAGCATACTACACAAAGCGAGATAATAAATAACTTATAGACGTCTCAGCATTTCATCTGTTCATACAATTCATACATTTCAAACACTTTACCATTTCAGCATTTGATGCATTCCATACATTTGATACACTTCATACAGTGCAGCATTTCATACATTTTATATATTCGGGTTAGCTGGGATCAGAGATTAATTAAACAAATAAAAATAATAAAATCAGTAGAATAAACCGTCCTAGCTGATCATGTACAATCCTATCGAATCCATTTCCATTTATTTATTTAGTAAAGTTGAGTTCAGATACAGATAGAAAAGAGAAAACAAACTTAACAAGCATTGCGACAAAAGCGACGTAAATAAATACATCTCTTGTAAAGGTGTCCAACCTATATGAATTAATGTATACAATATGTATAAAAATAAAATAAAATCCTATAATAAGATCATATAGGATCTTATATGATCTTAAAAGCTCCTACTATTGGATCTCATAGGATCCTGTACTAGGAATCCTACATCATTTCTGGCTTTAAGATGGTAGACGTGTTTCCTATAAGATCCTATATGATTTCAGAGCATCATATAAGATCAGACAAGAACTTATTTTAGGATATGATAGGATCTCACAAGATCCCATATGATCCTATTATAGGATTCGTTGACCTCGGTTTGACTTGACATTGGTTTTGTTTTAAACACAACCGACAAGTGGCGCTCTTTGTCGCCGCAGACCTAGTATTATCCTGACAAAATAATTCTTTCGTACATCTTTAATTGAATATACTTTTGAAATATGCCAAAGGTTTTTACAAACACTTCCCTTCCTTATCGACAAAATGTAGTGGTGAATTATGAAACTTCGACCAATAGTCAAAATCTTCCTTTACTTTCCTTACTTTTCTAGGATGCACCTTATTTTGTTCCTTTCATCGACAGATTGTTTTGGTCATTTACTTACCTAAACCTGAAAAGAGAAGTTTCAAAATTGATTAATCATCGATCATCCAATTCCTCGCATCCAACTTTCTTCATGCAATAAAACGAATATAGTTTGCGACGGGTACACTGTAAATGGTGTAATGAACTAATGGATGTGACGGCCAATAAAAAAAGTGTATGGCGCTAGTGTGTCACCCACAAAAGTTACTGAATATTTAATGGCGACATAGAAAAGTGTGTGACTGGTAGTGCCATACACAAAAGTATATGGCGCTAACTGGAGCGACCTTTTTATTGCTCTAATTTTCTTTTGTGCTCAAATTGAAAAGGATACTCCTGGGGCCTGTTTCATAAACAAACTTAAGTCAAAAAATTGACTTGAGTCAAACTTAAGTCTAAAAAGTTCTTTGTCTTTTTTGACTTAAGTCAGACTTAAGTTTCTTTATGAAACACGCCCCTGGTGTTCAAATACAAACAGACGAGAATTTTTTCTGTCGTTTTCTGAATAAGTATTAAATGTTACTTTGTCATCAGCTGTTTTGTTTTTAAGTTCTAATGTCCTGGAAACACCAACAACTTTGTTGAAACTGGAGAAACGTAAATGTGTATAAGACTAAATATTTTAATATCCAGACATGTATGTGACATTTATACAGAAATAGAGAAAACAGTAGTCCTGTTACACTGTCTATGACGTTTGCTCAAATGTTAATAACAGCATTAGGAAATAGCTTATTTCATCTACAACAGCGAAATAAGTTATACAATAATAGAGAGGCTAAAAATTCCGGTAGAAATAGAAATGCTTACTAGTCTGTGAGACAATTATCCTTTGTCATCCATACATGGTTTGTTCATGACATGCTTCCTAAGCAGTTATTCATGTACTTTAGGTGGAAAATGTCTAATGAGTACAATTGTCCTGCGTGTCCATTTGTGACAAAGCAGTTGAAAAGATTCATGAGCCATGTCATCACACATAAGACAAATAAGTTTTATATTATATCGTGCGCGATATGCAACAAAACTTGTAAAGATGCACGTAGTTTTTCGCAACACATGAGCCATGCTCACAGAAATATTGGTTTTTTGGAAGAAGATAATACTAACAATGATAGAAATGCAGATCTTGATGGTGACGATAATAATGACAAAATAGCAATGGATTTAGATGAACAAGATGAAACTGCAGATTCACAATTAATAGGTAGTAGTTTCCAAGAAAACAGTACATGTGAATCACTACCCCAACAAGAAGATTGTATATTGTTGTTTATAAAACGAATATTACATTTTCTTCTAACGCTGCAATCGATGTTTTTTATATCGGAAGCAGCTGTATCGTATGTCGCAACAAATTTGTGTGATATTTTAGAATGGGCAATCAATAATACACAGGCATGTTGACTACTAACTGCACTTTTATGAACACGACACCATCGTAAACCATTATGTGTCGTCTTGTGTTGAGTAGATTTAGTGTATATTGTTTTATTATAGCACGTTCGTGAGTCTATCGATCACGTCCGAAAAATGACAAATGTTAATTCAAGATTAAGAGCAGCCGAAAATTGTTTTGGATATAATCCTCCACAATGTCGAACTATCACAGTAAGTTTCAACTGTATATTTTGTTGCTCACACCTCTAGTTCTTTTTTTAGATACCACGACACAATAAAGGCGATTTATGTATTAATTATAGTTACGTTTCTTTTACGGATGCATTAAGAAATTTCTTGAAACTTCCGGAGGTCCAACAAGATATCACCGAGCTAGCAACAAAACCATCAACATATCCCATCATGCTTGACATTCACGACGGAGAGTTTGCTCGGACGCATCCGGTTTTTAAGACCCGAGATCTTCTTAAAATTGAACTTAATTCAGGTAAATACAACCTTTATGAGCAGGAGATTCTCGTTTTGCTAACTTGGTTTTATTGTATTTTTATAGACGGTCTGAATATAACAAATGCAATATCAAATCATATTCACAAAACATTTTTATTTTATTGGTCTCTACTAAACCTACGCCGTGACCATCGTTCATTACAAGCTTCCAAAAGGCTGGTGGTAGCCTGTCCCGAAGATGACTTAACAGCCGACGTTTTGCAACAAATAACTAGTAAGCTAAAATTTGCAGACTTTGTCCGCTGGTACGTTCTTTTTTCGCTACTTTTACATTTATTGTAGGTGAGTTTGTCAGCAGTTTACAAAAAATGGCTAAAGATGGTGTTGATGTTGTTATCAATGGTGCTAGAAAAGTTCATCAAGTGGCATTGTTTTTCACGTTGGGAGATTACCCAGCACAACAAGCACTACATGGAAGAAAAGAATCAGTATCAGCGTTGAAGTTTTGTCCATGCTGCAATGTCACGAACGATGATTATAAAGACAACATTGATCAATTACCAGCACATTACACAAATCAGGATTACGAACAAGCGTGCAAATTTATTGAAGAGTGTGTAAAAAATGGGGATGAAAACACAACAGCAATATGGAGAAAATTCTATGGAATTAATAATCGTAGTATATTTGCCGAATTACCCAATTTCGATGTTACGCTACAAGTGTTACTTGATCCGATGCATATTTTACTCCAAGGTTCGTATAAGTTTCTGTGTTGTAACTTGATTCTTGGTCTGTAGTAGACACGACGTAGACACAATGATATTTAAAAAACTCAAGTGTAATGACTATGTTGATTTATAAGGTTAGAATAACAACCAAGATTTTTCCTTGTAGGTGTTTGTAAATATCATTTGAACGCGTTTCTGCAACATTGTGTCGATGCAAATCGTTTTACAATGGCACAATTCTGTTTAGTTGTTAATGAATTTTCGTTTGATGTGAGTGAAAACTTGTCAAAACCATGTTTAAACATGAGGATAGAAGAATTGAGAAATTCAACGACAGGTATACGAAAGCAACATGAAAGCAAATGTAGTCTTCTGCTGTTTTACTTATAGGATTACCCCTTGATGCAATGCAAACTTACCATTTATTGATGAACTTGCCATTTATTTTGCGTAAATTATTGAAAAATTTCACATTTCCAGCTTATGATGTAATATTACTCTTAGTCGATATTGTTAATTTGATATGGGCATCAGAAGCAGATGATCAAACAGTGTTACAATTGCAAAAATCTACTTTACTTCATAATAAATTATATAAACAATTATATCCAGATAAATTAAAACAAAAGTTTCATTTTTTATTACATCTGCCAAGACAAATGAAATTATTTGGACCACATCGATTTATAACAACATTAGCGTCGGCACGAAAACATCAATATTTTAAAGGTCAAAAAATGCACTGTTTTAAAAACGCACCACTTACATTAACAAAACGTTTACAGGCATGGGAATCTGTTAAAGATTACAACAGTGATGGAACATTATCAACAGATATTTTTAAACATGAAACTGTTCTTCATCATGTGGAATCATTAACTGATGACCTACGTATAAATGTTGCTAAGTGGACGTTACCAGCTATGCCAACTCATACTGCAACACGGATAAAATATAATTCAATATCATATTCAGTTGGTACTGTTATTTGCGCTTCCCAAAATTATTTAGAGGAAAATCCAATATTTCTACAAATAATGAACATCTTTATTATCAAACAACGACCATATTTCGCGTGTACACAATTGAACATCATTCGTTTTGATGAAAATGTTAGAAGCTTCGAAGTGAAAATAAGTAACGACCATGGTTCTGTTACACCTGATTTTCTCAGAAATGTATGGCCACTAAAATTAGTTAATATAGACAATGTGTATTATGTTGGCTTTCGTCCACATGGAAGAACTTTTACACAACTGTAAATAATTAGCTACTGTTGTGCTGAATATGTTTTTTCTGGAAAGGCGTCCTTTTTTCGTTCACTGTACAACTAGGCGTCAATAAAAATGAATTAGTGTTTGTGTTATGCTCTTTGCATCAGTAATCGTTCTGGCATTCCGTTTTTATACTCTTTTACTGTTTTAGATTATATCATTTACGTTTATGATAAAAGGTTATGCGTAATCATGGTGTGCAGTATATTCTATGAAGATAAAGCCAATAATATTGATATTTTTGGAGTTTGTCCTGCGTGCAGAGAAAAAGTTGCTATTCATACGCATGATCCTTTCACGATATCACAACTAACTGCTCCCACGATAACTGCATCACCAAAACAAAAAACAAATCTAACAAATTTCAATTCTCGAACCCCATCACCAACAAGATATACAAGCACGATAGATGATAATACGTGTTCACTTACAAACACACTTAGGTTATCACCACGTGAAACACATACAAGTTCAAGATTGACAAATGATAATGGTTTTCTACACGGGAAATCACCAGATAGCAGTACTATTGATCACATATTTAAACTAGTAAGCGTCTGTTGATTAACGATTTTGTCAAATAACTTTCGTTTATATTTTCAGAGAGTTCGTACTAATTCTTCTTCGCCAGCCGATCAAAATAAAAAAGTTAATCAACTTCGATCGTAGAAAAAAGCTGATTGTTTTATGCTTTATATGCTTTTAGGTTTATGTTCCACGTACATGTAACTTGCCGATGTACAGTGCAGCTGTTGAACAAGCTTTACAAACAGGTGAATTACCACTATATTCAAAGTAATGGACTCTAACCCCTTAATCTGAATCGCTTCGGAAGATTGTTTTACAAAATGGGAAGATTACCTTTTGTTTTTTGCATATAGGAAACATCGATATACTTGAACAAAAATTTGTTATTGAAACGAGGGATTTTTATCTTACAAATTATCAACCAAGATCATCTCCTGATTACAAGAATATCGTTCAAGCAATAATCACTCGTTATCGTGAAATTTTGAATAAT